CTGAAAAACCAGTGATCCAAATTAAGGTACCAAATCCAAATCCAGGACCTTGGTTGATTTACCTGGATGAACACACAAGTCCTTTGGTAGAATGGCATTTGGGATGATGTCCTTCTTGCTTTGAGAAGAGAGCAATGGGGCCAGCAATATTTAAGTGGGAAAGGAGCTTGCTGCCAGTCTAAGTGGAAAGAAAGAACCGACTCCCATGAGTTGTTCTCTGACCTCCACATGCACACCATGGCACATGAGCACCTCTCCCCTGACAAGTAGACATTTAAAAAACAAACAACTATAAAAGTAACTAATAATAATCATAATAATAACTAGAACTCTGAAGACAGCCTAGTACAGAGCATATGTCTAGCATGTGCGGCCCTCGTTTCCATCCCCGAGTATTACCTGAAGAAGAAAATGATTTTTCATTTTATCATTGTGAAGGTGCTACACACTGCTCAAGATCACATCTCAGATGCTTCAATCATTATTATGCCCAGTAGGACTTACAGGTGAGAATTTACTAAGTAATCACCGTAGCCTGTAGATGCCCATGTTTCAGGACCTGAGTGAGTAGCCAGCATGAAGTCACCCAGTGGTGTCAGAATAAAAGCAAGCACCTCTCCACCACCTGACAGGTTGCTGTTGCCACGGTGACTTACAGAGCCTGCTGCAGTGGAAGCCGCTGAACTGCTTCTCAAGGAATGCTAGCGAGCTGGGGACTTTAACATTTAAGGATTTTGTCTGGTTGGTTGTCTGGTTTGGTTTGGTTTTAGTTTTGATTTGCTAGTGTTTCCTTTACCTTTCTGAGGTCTTTCTGTGTACCCCAAGCTGGCCTCATCATACACTCAGTGATACTCCTGTGTTCACTTCCTGAGGGTACCACCATACCCAGATAAAGTGTAGCTTTCATAACTCACCCAGACACTGAAATTTGATATCTTGGCATCAAACGGTTTCAGCAGGCTTCCAGGTGAGTCTGATGCAAGACTCTCTGAGGACAGAATGACTTGACAAAACTGTCTGTGTGGCCATGTCACTGACTTGCTCAATTGATTCTATAAAGCCAACTGAAAATACCTAACCAGGGCCACTTTCATGTTCACACCTCCTGGTCTCTAGTTTCCTCTGTGTTGGGTGCTGTGTGCTGAAAATTCTAGCGGCAGGGATCTGAATGCAGCTTTCTGAACCAGAGCTTGGGGCTTCCTGCCCCCTTGTCTCTGCCTACCACATCATAGTCATCCCCATCTGTCTGGAGTGCTTTGATTTTCCTTCATTTGAATTGAGAATATCTTCTCTCCTCACATCTTCCTCTTCCTCCTCTTCCTAGAAGACTCACTGTATAGCCCCGGTTGTCCTGAAACTTTCTATGTAGACAGGCCTCTATTCCGAGAGAATTTCCTACCTTTGTCCCCCGAGTGCTGAGAATAAGTGTGCTCCATCATGACTATCATGAAATGCTTGTTTTCTATTTTAGTCTTTTCATCTTTTTTATTTTCTATTTTTCTTTTGAGACAGGGTTTGTCTATGTAGCCCTGGTTGTTCTGGAACTTGGTATATAGACAAGACTATCTTCAAACATACAGAAATCCCCCTGACTCTGCCTACAAAGTGCTGGGGTTAAAGGCCTTCAGTACACCTAGAGGTGTGTCAAATTTGCTACATAGCTGAGAAAGACCTTGAATTTCTGATCCTCCTGCCTCCACCTCCCCAAGCTTAGATTACAGATGTGCACTGTCACGCTCAGTTTCTGCTGTGCAGAAGATGGAACCCAGAGTTCCCTGTAGCTCCACCAGCTGAGCTACATCCCTAACTCTAGAGTGTTCTTCCTTATACTCTGCGTGATGTCAGCATCGTCATTCATTTCACAGATTCTGGTCACTGATGATATACTGTATTAGGAAGATTTTCTTTACTTTTAGGGGAGGGGGCTGTTTTGAGACAGGGTTTCTCTGTAGCCCCTGCTGTAGACCATACTGGCCACAGTCTTACAGAGATCTGCCTCCTGAGTGCTGGAACTAAAGGTGTGCATCACCGCCAGCTAAGATGTTCTCTTAGGCAGCTTATCTATCAGAAATGGAAGCCTTGAGGACAGGAAAGAGCTGTCAACTTTGGTGTGAACCACAGGATTAACTGAAGAGATTATGCAAGAGAAAAAGGAAGCGTTGGTAAAATGTGGGCTGCAAAGGCAGGGGAAGGAGAGGAAGTATAGCGGTTATGAGGGAGGAGCTGGAAAGCTGGGACCCCGTGGGAAGGGGGCAGCACTCCAAAGTCACTGTGTGCCATGAAAACACACACAGACACACACTGCATTGCCTTTACCACCGCAGTCTACAGTAACCAGCCAAAACTGTCTCTTAAATTCAGAGGTGAAGAAAAGAATCCATCCAAAGAGGGGAGCAATGAAGGGGAAGAGGCGCTCGGTGGCCAAAACCAATAGCTGCCCACTCTCTAGTTTCCTTCTTGTTGCCATGAGAAAACATTCTAACCAAAACAACTTAAGGGGTGGGGGGAAGAATTATTAGGCTTCACCTCCAGGTCACAGTCCATTATTGAGGGAAGTCAGGGAAGGAGCTGAAGACAGGAGCCTGAAGCAGAAACCATGGAGGACCGTTGCTTTCTGGCTCACTTCCAGGCTCATGCGTAGGTCACTTTCTGATAGAGCCCAGAACCACCTGCTCGGAGAGAGGTGCTGCCTGCCATGGGCTCTGCTCTCCTACATCAGTAAACAACCAAGACAACTTCTCATTGTCATACACAAGCCCAGATATCAATCTGATAAAGACGATTCCTCAGTTACTTTCTAGACTGGGTCATGTTGGCAACTAATGCTAACTAACTAACAGAACACTCCTTATCCTGCCCCAGTGACTAGTGATATATTTGACACAAAGCAGGCTCCCTCATTAAATGCCTGCAGAACGAGTAAAGTCAGAGGCAGAGCATATGCTTACCTCCACCTGGTAGGCTTCACTGATCATTGCATCCATTTACTTCTAACCAAAATTCTACCTGCGAAGATTGCCTATCACTGTTGTAATAGTGGCATGACTGTTCTGGGATTAACCAACTGTTTTTGATTGGATTACAGGCCTGGTCTAAATGAGAGAATACATAACTTGTGTTATGCCCGTGTCACGGGATCCCCAAACAAGACCACAACAGTGCTGGTATTGGGATTTATTGATTACAAGTTAGCTACCTCAGGCTGTAATCCAACACACTGCCACAGCAGATAGGGGAGAACGGGCCTCAAGACTTTAAGTTAAGGGGATTTTAAAGAGGAAAACCACAAGTTAGGGTGGCACAAGCCTTGACATTTCAGGATTGGGTAAAAGTATACAAATTCATTAGTTGGGGTACAGGGAAATTTCAAAACAACAGTTAATCAGATACATACAAGGATGTTTGAAACAAGCAGATGTTGTTTGGACACCCTGATGGGTCACTTTGACCAGGGCTAGCACAGTTTCTTGGGAATATTTATGACTTTGCTGGGCTGCATTCACCTCCTTGGTAGGTCCTGTCTAAAATAGAGTTCTTTCTCAAAATGGAGTTTGTTCTGCTCCTTCATATGATACTGTAAACCTATTCATTAGCCTTTGGCTAGGCCAAGCATGTTGGTTATGCTGTGGAATATTCCTTTACACTGTTTGAATATATGTTGCTGTGATTGGTTTAATAAAGACACTGACTGGCCAATAGATGAACAGAATAATGTTTGGCAGGAGAGTGAGACTAGGAGAATGTGGGGAGGAAGAAGGGCGGAGTATGGAGTTGCCAGCCAGGCACAAAAGGAACAGGATATGATAATAAAGGTACCACCACGTGACAGAGCATAAATAAGGAATATGGGCTAACTTAATTGTAAAAGCTAGTTAGTAATAAGCCTAAGCTATTGGCCAAGCATTTATGAATAATATAAGTCTCCGTGTGTTTAGTTGAGAGTGGCTGCCTACAGTGGTGTTTTCCTTTAATTCCAGTATTCAGGAGGAAGAAGCAAGTAAATCTGGGAATTCAAGGCCAGTCTGGTCTACATAGGGAGCTCCAGGCCAGCCAGGGCTACATTGTAAGACTCATTTTCAAAACAGCAACAACCAAAACCAAAACTAAGCAAAAAAAAAAAAAAAAAAAAAACCTAACTAAAAAAGTCACTGCTTAATTGTAGAATGGCTGCCTGAGAGAGAAGGCCCAGCATCAATTAAGCAATATAAAATAAAATTAAAAGTGTCAGCTGGGCATGGTGGTATATGCCTTTGATTCCAGCAGAGGCAGATGCAGGCAGTTCCCTGAATTTGTGGCCAGCATGGTCTACAAAGCAAGCTTCAGGACAGCCAGACTATCCAAAGAGACCTGTCTTGAAAAGAAAGAAAAAATAAAATTAAAAGTCTCAAAAATAAATGGAAAACATAAAGACTGGAAGAAACTGGATGAAGACCAGAAAGTTTAATACATTACACGTTTTGTAGTATTATCTTTAGCTCACAGCATACTGTGTATTTGTCCATGCAGTTGCATTTAATATATAACTCTCCAACCTATGTTTCCCTCCTTTCTCAGCCTCCCACGCGCAGTTACTACACCCCACCACAGGCAGGCACGAGCTTTAGTTTATTCTTCACTTTTTCATTTATGTCAGTACTGGGGACCAAACCCAGACCTCACCAGCCTAGACAAGCACACCACCACTGAACTACATCTAAAACGATGGTGTTTTCTTGAGATGGGCTCATTCCATAGCCCTGAATGTTCTGGAATTCACTGTAGCCCAGGCTGCCCTGAAACTTTGGGTAATCCTCTTTCCTGAGTGTCCTATGTGCTGAAATTTTGAAGGCATAAGCTGTGTTCAAATGCAGCCCAGGTTGGCCTCGAACTCACAGCTGCCAGACTGTTGGCTCTGTATTTGTTAAGTCACCAAGTGGCACTCTGGGTCAGGAAACTTTCCACTGCCCCGGGCTATCATCTCACCCTGATTCAAGTATTGAGTCAATCACCGAAATGGTCATAGGTCGGCTCTGAGGCTTATTAAGATACCAACTTGGAGACCAGATAGAGTCATCCCGTCTCCAGTGGGTGTTCTCAAACTGTACTTTGCAGAACTCTTAGTGCGGTCGCCGGGTGGAAGGTTCAGGTTTCACTCTCCAGGGACCTCGAGCCTCTGCAGCGCCTGGTCGCTCGCGGAAGAGCGTTTGCAAGCGGCAGTCGCGCGCTCCGCCTGCGCTCCACCGAGAGGCCCCACGACGCTGCTGGCCGAGCCAGGAGGCGGCGATCCTGGCTGGGCCGGGACTTCCTTCCTCCCGGGAGGGACAACTGACTCCCCCCCCACCCCACCCGCAGCCCGCGCCGAGCTCCGGTGCTAGCGCGCAGCGATGGGCTCCCTGCTGAGCAGCGATAGCTCTAAGACCGCGCCCGCCTCCGCCGCCCCGCGGCCCCTGGAGCGCAGCCGGGACCCGGAGCTGCCCATCACCTCCTTCGACTGCTCAGTGTGCCTGGAGGTGCTACATCAGCCGGTTCGGACCCGCTGTGGCCACGTGTGAGTGTTCGGGAGCTTGAGTGGCGCGCCCACCCAGCGGGGAAGGATGCGGGGGACGGAGGGGGGGTAGCAGGGGGGCAAGCGGAGGGGCACAAAGTGGGTGGGAGTAGAAGCAGCGACTATTGGGGAAACTGATACAGGTCTGGTTAGGGAAGCACACAAGGATTGCAAGAGCTGGGTCTCTTGGGGCAGTAGGGCAGGGGGCTTCCACCATGAATAGGTCCCGCTGATTTTGAGTGAATTCGGGTGTGCTTCCTATTCTCCTGAGAACCTGGGTGGGTTTTGTTTTGCTGGAGCTTTGCACATTTTCCAGAACCTCCAGAGGCTTATCTCTTGTTCTGTAGAGGATCTGTACGGAACTCTTTCAATTCCTACCCCGCGTCCTTTTTCCCAACACACACAGACGCCGACCCCCTCGAAGTTCGAAGGTCGTCAATATGACCTTCATATTGCCGAAGGTCTCTCGGACATTTGCTCCCCACCGCTATATTCACTCATTTAAAACTCAGCTGCAAAGTGACTGGATGCTGTGTGCTACCTGCCATAGGCACCGGCTCCTCCCAGAACTGAAAGTATAGACAGTGTTCCTCAAACTCTGGTGTCATGTCGTGAAAACTCACTACTGTTGCAAAGCAGTGGTAGTTTCCAAGGCTTTAAAAATGAAGCCCCAACCCTAATGGGTATGCTCTTAGGAGATGTTCAAATAAACCAGAGGCCTTCGATGTGTGAATTTCTGTTAGTCGTTTGTTAAGCAGTTTTTTTCGTGGTTATGTGGGTCTGAGTTGGTGATTGTGTGCGTCATAGGTCGAAATTAAAGCCCATACCACCGTCAACTCTAAGAAACTAACTACACTGAGATAAAGCAACAGAACAGAAACACTGTTTGCTGGTGCGGACGTTCGGCTTATCAACAAAAACCAAATCCTGTGTATTAAAAATGCATGTGCACGACCGTGCTTTTTAATAGAACTTGAGTGAGGCTTGACAAATACGTAGAGTCAGGAAGCCCTGGTGCCCACTGTGAGCCAGGGAGAAGTATGTGCCAGTTACACAGTGTTTAAATCAAGAGTGCTCTGGACTCTACTTTGTGGTTTATTCTCAGGACCTATTTTTTTTCAACTTTGTACTTTAAACTCAAGGCTTACATTTTAGACGTCTTTTTCAATTAGTGATGTTTCCTAGCTTTCTCAACATAGCTCTTTGACATACCATCCAAAGGCCAAGTTGACAGTGTGAGAGCCAAGGTTCTGTTGTGTAATGTCGTGAAAGGTGTTGATTAGGTCAGAACAATAGCCTAAAGAGAACTACATTTTTAAAGACCTATTTGTTTCTCTCTGGGGGCTCAGAGGTGAGTTTGGGTCTGTGTAGACTAGTCTAGCTTCAGATTTACTAAGTAGCTGAGGATGTGAGGGTGACCTTCAACTTTTTTTGTGTTTTGTTTGGTTTTGAGAATCCATTTAGCCTTGGCTGGCCTTGATATCGCTTCTGTAGATCAGGCTGACCTCTAACTCAGAGATCTGATGGCCTCCACCTCCTGGGTGCTACCACACTCGCCCAGCTTTGGCCTTGAACCTCCTGTGTCCACTGGCCAACTGCTGGGATCACTGACCTGCATACACCACATGCCCAGTTTGTATCAGGCTGGGGATCCTTGCATGGCAAGAAAGCTCCTCATTTTCTGCTATGTAAGTGTGTGTGGAATTCGGGGACCTGTAGATCACTGAGCGAGCATTCTGTCACTGAGCTAGATCCCCAGAGTTTGAGCTTAAACTTTACTAACATTAAAGCTGTGCAGTTGAACCAAAGATGTGCAATAGTGTTGAAATCCCTTCTCCAGCACTGAGGAGGGCAGCTTGGCTGCTGTAATCAGATGACTCCAGACTGTTTTCAAGGGTTGGACTTTAAACACAATAATTTATTTGTTTCTACCAAAGGATAATATGAACTTGCAAAATGTTACATTTATTTTTGTTTCATCTTTTTTTTTCTTTGTTAAAGTGAATAGGAAACTGGCCCCTGGAAAAATAGTCATAAAGTAGCATAACAAGGGCTGGATGAATTGTCTTCCCTCCCTTCGCTGTTCTTTGTTTGGACAAATCTATGTCCATTGTTCTGGCTGGGGCAGAATTTCCATGTCCTTCCTTTTGGCCAACTTGGGCCCCTTCCATTTTATAAATGTTAACCCGAGGCCTTCTGCACTGGAGACTGTTGTTAGCACCAACTGAACATTCTAAATGAATTCCTCTTTTCTGCCCAACTTCGGTTGGAAAATGAGAAAATCGCAAGTGAAGCCCTTTGTTCTCGATATCCCGTATTGAGGTTAGATTTCTAACAGGGCTGGCTTTTTTGTTTTTAGTTCATAAATCTACTACAAGTCAAATACGCATAGTGACAGCAGTTCTCTGGGTGAATGTATAGATGATCCTTTACAAACACAATTGTACCACAGTTGAGCGTGATTGAGAGTGGGTTTGAAATCAGCACAGCCGCGAGCCATCTTGTGACCAAGTGGTTGAATCTCAGAATCTCAGTCTCTTCCTTTTAAAATGGTGAGAAATGTGATTTTGTGGGCATTTGAAACGTAGAGAAGCCCGTAACAAAGGCTGAGAGCTGGAAGTGTGGAGTGCAGTGTAGAGTACTTGCACAGCACAAGCCAAGCCCTGAACTGGATTGCCAGTGTCCCACACACAAAAGACCCAAAACGCGGTTTCTGTTTGTTTCAGTCGTTTTATAAGCAACACATCCATACATCGGTATGATCATCATCTTCTTTATTTTGGCACAGAGTCCCAAGTATTCCTGAACTCACTATGTAGTCAAGGATGACCGTCCATTTTTAGTCATTAAATTTCTCTTGTTTTTTTTTCTTTTCCTTTTCTTTTTTCCTTTTTCTTTTTTCTTTTCCTTTTTTTTTTTCTTTTTTTTTTTTGAGACAGGGTCTGACTTTGTAAAGCAAGCTGGTCTTGAATTCAGAGATCTTCCTGCCTTTATCTCCTGAATGCTGTGATTAAAAGTGTGTGCCACCATGACTAGCAAGCTGTTTCTCTCATCTTCGTAGCTGAGATTACAGGTATGCTATACATACGGTGCTATGTATCAAATTCAGGTCCTGTGTCTGCTAGGCAGGCTGAGCAGGCACTCTACCAAGTGACCGTTCCCCGGACCTGTTTGTTTCTTTAATAGAACTTCTGGGTTTTCAGTTAATTCACTTATTTGAGTGAGGTGATGCGTGCCTCCCAGGATATGGGAAGTGGAGCGAGAGGACAGCTCTCAGCAGTCGGCTCTCCTTCCACCTGGTATGTAGATTGCCCTCTAGCCGGCAGGTACGGTGGTAGGTGCCTTTACCCTTAGTAGTCTTCCTAGAGTCTTGTTTGAGACATGGCCTCATTACCTCAGGCTGGCATTCAACACACCTTAGAAGCAAGGATGGCCTTGAACTTCTGATCTTCATGCCTCTCTCCCCTTCTACTTTGTGGGTTCTGAGGATCAAACTAGCCAGTGCCTTTCTTCTCAGGGCCATCTTAATGTCCTAATGTTTTATTCTTCGGACAATTTCTACACTGTAGGACTCAGTCTCTCTCTCTTTCTGAAACAAAATCTCATTCTATATCCCAGACTGGCCTGGAACTCACTGTGTAGATCAAGGCTTTTCTTGAATTCACAGAGATCCACCTGCCTCTACCTTCCAAGTGCTGTGATTAAAGGTGTACATCATATGTCTGACATTCAGTATTTTATATTTTATATTAATTATCCATATCACAAAAATAGTTTTAAAGCCAGGTGGTGGTGGCACACACCTTTAATCCCAGCAGTTGGGAGACAGAGGTAGGCGGATCTCTGTGAGTTCGAGGTCAGCCTGTTCTACAAGAGCTAGTTCCAGGACAGGCACCAAAGTTACAAAGAAACCTTGTCTTGAGAAAAAAAATAATAATAGTTTTAAAAATGGAGTAGGAGAAAAGGATTTTTGACTTTTGCTTTAATATTGTCAGAGAACCAAGGAAAGAGGGAATTACTGAATAGAAACTGTGAACTGAACTAAAAAGGAACCTGATTTACAGTTAGAGAGAAAAATCAAAGATGTGGGGCAGTCGTTCCTTGGTAAAGCACTTGTCTGGCGTGCAAGGCCCAGGCTCAGTGCCCAGTGCCAGCGAAATCAACTGTTGTGAGCTTGAGTGTTCTAACACTGATGAGTGACGTGCCCGCCCCGGGGCCGGGGATACACTCTTTGTTGTTACTATGCTAAGACACTGTGACCAAGGCAGCCTGTAAAAGAAGGAATTTCTTATAGTTCCATGATGGCAGAGTGGAGGCATGGCAGATGAGAGCTTACATCTTGGAACACAAACAGGAAATAGAGAGAATGAACTCAGTCTTTAAATTCTCAAAGTCTGCCTCAGGTGATATCCTTCCTCCAACAAGGCCAAACACCAACCTTCAACCTTCCTTCAACCTTCCCAAACACCACCACCAGCGAGGAACCAAATATCTTCATGCCCAGAACTATAAGGGCCATCTTCAAGCCAGCACAGGGTTTATCGCAGTGGCAGGGTTCTTGCCTGGTATGCACAAGGTTTGGGATTCAAACAGCTGAATAATTAGTTTTCCAATTGGGTATGGTAGACAAAGGAGAAAGATGTTAGAGACAATTCCTAGGATTTAATGGACTCATGAAAGGGCCTTGTATTGTTCATGGTTCTTTAGAGTCACAGAACTTATAGAATGAACTCTCTCTATATATAGAAAGGGAACCTATTAGAATGGCTTACAGGCTGTGGTTCAGCTAATCCAACAATGGCTGGCTGCGAATGGAAAGTTCAAGAATCCAGTAGTTGCTCATTCCACAAGGTTGGAAGTCTCAGCTGGTCTTCAGTCTACCCTAAAATCCTAAAGAAGTCAGCTCTAATGCCAGTGAAGGCAAGGGCAAGAGCTTTGGTCTCCCACGTCCTCAGCAGGTGTGACCCAGATCGAAGGTGTATTTTCCTGCTGCAAGATCTGGA